GTAAATTGAGAAATCGTGCTCGTAACACTGCCCTGTTACTGCTTTCAGCAAAGTCATGCTGAAGCTTGTAGCACTGTTTGTGACAGTAGGTTTAGCTGTATTTGTACAAAGATGACCACAGCCTTATGAAATGAACTGTCCTTAGAGTCAAAACTGGATTTGCTTTCCCTTTTTAGAATTCTTCCAGCTTTTTTTGAACAGCTCTACCCTGGGATTCAAGCTTCAGTCTTTATAATGAAGAATTAAGTACTTTCTGTATCAGACTCAAATTCTTGAGCCAGTAGTTCTTCAAGGGAAAGGGAGCAGAGGCCTGGAGATGTATGTATGGATCACTTGCCTGAAAGAAAGCTTTTTGTTTAATGCCCAGTTTTTATTGTGTTGGTCTTGTGCTGGGCATGTGTGGGCTTTTGTTTTCTGGGTTTTTTTCTCACCTATGTGACATGACAGTGGGAAGGTTGTTGTGGCCTTTGGTTCCTTCTTACAGTCTAGAGCAAAAAGAGTTCAGTTGGTGGTTTGTTACACGTGGGACTTTTTTGGTTTCATGCTACGTCGCTGTGCAACCCTAACATTGTTCTTCCTTTGGTTAGTTGACTTGAGATGGCATCACTGATTACTTCCTCTCCTCTCCTCCTGCTGAGAAACTGAAAATAGGAAATCTGTGCTTTGTCTTGATTCTTCTCTTGGCTTTGGTCCTGTTGGAGGGGTGGGTGCAGTCATGATCATTTGTCTGCCTGCTGGGCCTTGCGTATTCTGAGCTAGCAATGAATAAGCTGTGAACGTTTAGTATATGACACTTGGTACTGTCTCTGCCAAGACTTGCAAGTTGTATGAGGAGAGTTTAGACTCTACTTCCAGGAATTGTTTCATGAAGGTGCTGGAGTCTGAGGAAATGCACTCTAAAATGCTTGCAGGGGACAAGCCGGGCTGTTTAGACTTAGCTGTATGCTGCTCGTCTACTTGCCTGTCCTGAGGCAAGAGTTGTGCCCATGTTGGCTTCCAGCCTAAGAGAAGGAACGCAGGTGTAGCCCTGGCAAAAAGCATTGAAAGCCTTCTGCAGTGCTGTAGCTGGCTGGGGAGTAGGACCTGGTGCTCCTCTTGGCGTTTATTGTTGTCTTGAGGGAAAAACTCGAATAAGGTCATTTATTGTTGAATCGATGTGTGTCAGAGCTTGAACTGAAGAGAATGTTAAAAGGTGGATGAGCACCAGCTTTGTTGTAGCATGTCCAGTCTGGGTATACTGTGGGAATGATGCCACAGATTAAAGAGCAGAGCAGGGGTTGGCAGTGGTCAGGTGAGAACGGAGCGCTATTTAAATCAGGTCAGGAAATGAAAAAATTGGTCCCCATACAATTTTACACAACTTGCATAAACTTAAGAAATGGGACATCTAGGCCTGCCTGAAGGTAAAAGCATGGTAGATACTTTAGGAAGTTTTTGGAAGGAAGATGATGAGTGGGGTGCTGCGATACCTGTGTGCAATAGGTACAGAAAGGGTGCTGGACAACTCTATACTTAAAGCAATAACAGAAAAACCTTGTAGTCAAATCACATTTATTGCTGAGTGGCTTTATTTGTTGCTACAGGATTCCTGTGGAGTGGATTCAAGGCTTGATTTGGGGAGTGGGAGTTGTTGGCACTGTGTTACTACTTACCGATGGAGCTGGTGACAGACATGGCCCTGCACAGGGTGTTTGGTGTACCTGCAAGGGCACGAAACATGGCAGTAGCAGGAAACTGGACTAAACTATATAGCAGTACAACTAAATGCAGTATGTGCCATCTTTGTCCCTTTGTGATTTGCCATGAGCTTGTCCAGAGCAGGCTTTAGACCTTTCCCAACAGTTGTAAATTGAATGTGACTTGAAACAGCAGGTGGATGTTTTAGAGCTACAGGGTTTATTAATGTGTAAGTAACAGTTTTGCAGACTAATGCCAGTGATGCACTATATAATAAATCAAAAAGGAGATGTCTGATGATGCCCTCTCTGACTTTAAGCTACCAAGGTTTTAGCATCCTCAACACAGGTGACTGGACTAGTTTTCAGCTAATGGGACCAGTAGTGAACCTGTAGGCTGCTGTGAGATTTGGGACTGATAATCTCTCAGTGCGCTGCTGCTCTCAAAGACAGAGGATTTATTTGCCAAATATAGCGTAGGCTGCACCTGGATTGCATCATTGCATGGGGCTAAATATTAAGTGCTACTGGTTGAATTCATTACAAGTGGGGAAATCAGTGGAGTACCTGTTTACATGCTGCCAGTTTCAGTGCTGAAAAGCCTGACGTGTCTATTTTTCTTCCTCACAGACTCATTTCATTGTAATGCCTATGTGCCCTCTTCCAGAGAAGAGTCTTAATGCTGCTCAGGTGTTTCCTGTGCACTTGCTTTCTTGATTCCAAATTGGTTTGGGCTTTGGTATCTCCCTTTTAATACTTGTGTGGCTTTCCCCTTGAAGCAATATTGGCTTTTGAACACTCATCTTGGATGAACCCCAGCATGTCTGGATGGAAGGCATGTATTATAATTCAAGGCAAGGCAAGGCATGAAAATAAAATTCTCTTTGGAAAATTATGAGCTTTTTGAACTCTCGCTGAGTGGAAAACTGAAAGCGCTGTGAAGATGGTCTGTATGGCCACAGTACTCTCAAGGGAGAAAGGAAGATTTGAGCCTTGGTGGTTCAACCACTTTACAAATCTGCCTTTTAAAAAACTGGGCCTGAAAACACCTAAATTAATCTCTAGCATGTGCGCAGAGATCTACCTTTTAAAAGGCTGCATCATTCTTTCTACAATGTCACGTTCAGCCCCAGCAGAAAAATTGTGTAGTTTCTAATGAGAGCTTTGTGCCTCTGGAGTTACTGCAACGCCACTGTCCGTGTTCTGGAAGACATCAGAGGAAGCACCTTCTTTGTCCTAATGAGTCATTAACATTGTGTTCCAGAGTATTTTCTAGCTCAGGAATTTACCTGAGAAGTGAAATTAATAACTTTTTTTTGTCACTTTCTTTGATGTTGCTGCAGAAGTTTTTTGGTGGTACAGAAAGGTGGGAGAAATTGCGATGTTGCTTCTCAGAATGCTTCCTCTAATGTAGTTCTACGTTGCTATTCATAGCAGTTCAGTTTTGTCTCACAGATCTTATGTAAAGTATCTTTCTCGTAAGTGTTCCTAATCTTGATATCCTAACTCCCCATTATATCACCTGTCAGCCTGTCTTGGAAAGAGGGCCCCTTATAAAACTGATTTTTTTGCAGAGGCCTAAAGGTAGATAAGTTGTTGTTGGGATCATCTAGCAAGTACGTGGCAATGATATGAAAAACAGAACTTGGCTTCCAAGATTTTTATTGTAGTGCTTTGGCTATAAGATCATCCTTCCCTCTTTGCAGAGAAGGTCAAAAGAAATGAAGTTCTTCATTTCCCCATACCTCTTGCAGCTGAGCCTTGTTCTGCTTCAGTCAGTAGGATTTATTTCTTCACTTAAATAAGGGACCACTGGAGACAAGGTTCCCTGTTTCACTTCACCCTTAACAGAAAGCCTCTTTCTGAGTGGATCGTACTCGCCCGCTGTGCAAAGCTTAATTTGTCTTGTTTCCTTCCTGTGTGGCAACCTGTCAAGATGGCACAGCCTTTGCTGCTCTTAGGAGTCGTGCTGCTCTGTGTTGCACATGGACTAATCATTGTAGAGATAGATTGTACTGTCCAAGATGATGATGAATTCTTTAAGGTTGCCATAAAGCATTGCTTCAGCCTCGCCCAGTAGACAAGTGTTATTCCAGAGCGCTATTAGTAGAAGAGGCGATTAGTGTGTCTTTAAGTGAATGGTGCCAAGGGGAATGGCATGTTACGCAGGGCAGCTGCAAGCTCGTCCTGAAACATGACCACCCTTGAAACCCTATCTCTACTCCACTGACCCATGCAGGCTGATTTCACGCTGTTGACTGACTGGGCGGGTTGCGTCAATGCCTGAAATGTAACTGCTTCCTGGCAGTGGGGCAGATCCCGCCTGTATGACTGATAACGTGTTCCTCGAAGCAGGGGAGAAATTGCATTTATGCATCTTTTCTGTAGCTGACCACAGAGGACTGAATTTGGTGGGCCTGTGTCCCAGGTTACCTGAGTGGAAAGTGTTCGATTTCCTCTTTGTGATAAATGAAGGTCTGAGGGGTTCCAAATAGATATAAAAAAAAAAAAAGAAAATGTGAGATGACGTTTCACAAGGATGCTTCCCAACAGAGCCTGTTTTCTGTGGGGTGGGAGAATCCTCCCTCAACTAGCATCTCCCCACAAAACCCACTTCCAAGTGTTACACTCCCGAAGTTTTAGGCAGGATAGTCTCCTCTTGATGATAGATAAAGCTGAGTCCCAACAGCTCATTTACTCTAGCTTTATGCCCTGCAGTCACAACTGTCTGCCTGTGCAGAGCTTTACGTCGTGCCCCTTGGTCTAAACCGCCCCGTGAGATGGAGCTCCCTGGATCAAGGGGAGGCTGTGCTGCAGCACCCGGAAAGCATTTCTCGAGAACCAGCCTCTCTTTTGCTAGGTCCCTGCCACTGCTACCAGCCACAGTGGGGGAAGGGGGTGACCTTTTTCCTTTTTTGTCCTGGGTGAAAGTCACTCTCTTGCAGGAGCATGGAGCAGTGCAGAGCTCCATGTGTGGCTGGAGCTCGCCGTGATAAGCTGGCTGTTTTCCCCTCTCCCTTCCTCTCCTCGCACTGCGCTGGGCTTATCTGGGCGCCTGAGTTATGTTAAGTAGCGGGTGCATGCTTGCTCTCTGTTCTCCTTGCTGCTTTTGCTCCTTGGATTTCAATTCCAAACATGGTTATCCATTTGGGGTCTCTCTCCTTTCCACTGCCAAGTGATACACATTCCACACTCAACACCAGCTCCCTCCGCTGCTGTCTCACAGTCGCTATTTCCATTTGCCGGAGGGCAGGCGAGAGAGGCAGTGCAACGAGATCTCTGTCCTGTCTGTGAGTTTTCCAGCTAATGGCCTCTACTCTTTCTTTGACTGAGCTCTTTTGGCCTCATATTTGTGAGCTCCTTTTCTCACTGGTGTGGCTAAGGAGGGGGCCAGCTGCCGGTCTTTGAGCCACAAAGAGGAGGAATGAGCCCTTTTGGGATTTTTCGGGTGGCACTTTAACATGTCGCTCTGAAGCACGCTGCTGTGGGACCGGCTGGTGCTCAAGAGGAGGAGGAGGAACAGCTACCCACTAGCTCTGGTTTCAGACCTCTGCAGCACCTGTTGTGTATGACAATTCATTTAGAGCGCAGGACGGCCAGGTAGGGTGGGGAGTGGGGAAGGATGAGCACAAGCAGCCTCTCTTGGGACCAGGCTGTTCTCCAGCCGCCAGTGTGTGATGCATGGAAGGAGATTATGGAGGGAGCAGCCTACCAGCTGGCCAGCTGCATCGTCCTCCTGGGTTACATGGGGGGAAGTGGCATCTTTGGGTCCCTCTATATCTTTGGCCTCCTGGCCCCAGGCTACTTCTGCTACGCTCTGTGGGGCTGGCTAAGCGCCTGCGGGCTGGATATCTTCATCTGGAACATGCTACTCGTCCTCACCTGCTTGCTTCAGCTGGCTCACCTGGCTTACCGACTCCGCAGAGACACCATCCCAGAAGAGTTTGACCTCCTCTACAAGACCATGTACCTGCCCTTGCAGGTGCCTCTGGAAGTCTACAAAGAAATTGTGAAGTGTTGTGAAGAGCAAGTCCAGTCGCTAGTCAGAGACCAGAATTATGCGGTGGAGGGCAAGACGCCCATTGACCGCCTCTCGTTGCTGCTGTCTGGCAGGTAAAGGCTCTCCTGTTTCTGAACAAAGGTCTGACAGCAAAGCGCTGTGGCTTAATGTTGTATCTTCACCCTCTGTAGAAACTGGGGTGAGGATTGTTTCTTTCCTCTGAAAGGGCTTCGAGATATGCATCTGTTTGTTGGGGACGGGAGTAATTTGCTTTTGGGGATTGTTTTTGTTTTGGTTTTCTAAATTAGAATATTTCAGGGAACGGTTTGCAGAATCAAGCTATGTGCAGTGAAGCGGCCAGCTCAGCCTTGCCTGTGATACTGTTTGGGAATCCTTACCTCTTTCTCTGTCATTTTACAGTGGTCTTATTTCTGATGGGAGCAGACTGGCCGTGAGTGTTTCCCAAGGCAGGAAGGCAGTGTGTCTGGACCTGTGGTCTCTGGGGTACCAGACACACCTCCGTGATATGAATGGCTGTGCACTGAGTACGCTGAGTCCTCAGTTCACCTGCTGTCCCTGGCCAGCAGTGTTCAGGGAGAGGTTCCACCCCTGTTCCCAACACCTCAGTGCTCAGGACTCCAAAATTTTTCACTTCAAGGGACATTTCATCAAAAGAGAGCGCGATCTCCTGTGGTAAAAGTCATGCATTCACGATGTTCCTCTGGACCACCAAGGAGGGCCTTGGGGACCTCTAGGTAGTCGCACTGGGGATTTGATTATTGAGTGAACTGTGCTAATGAAGAACTAGCATTTGTTCACCTGAAATCCTGTGGCATGTCTTTATGAGCATATCTCTTAATGATTTGCAAAATCTAAATGCATACAAATAGTAATGATATTGGCTTCCCAGCTGCTGCCAGGCACTTGGTCCTAATGTCAAGTGAGAGTGGGAAAGGAAGGAGATCTGTAAATGGGAGCAGCGCTGAGCTGTAGGAGGTGCGTCTCACAAGGATTTTCCTTTGAGAAGAGAAACCCAGCGTCACCTGGGGTTTGTGTTTTACTGCAATGGCCCATCTTCTATGCTGAGGGAGTGTGTAAAGAAGAAGGGCTGTCCTTCCTTTTTTTGGTGTTTGTCCCTTTTCTAGGATGTGTTAAGAGCATCCTGGGACCACTGACCAATGCTAAATGGCAAAGCAGTGGAAGGAAATTGGGTTTGTGTCTTTCCCCTTACCAAATGGCTGTGCTGAGCAGCTTGCTCTGAAGTTTACCGGATCTGCAAATAACATTAGTGAGGAAGAGTCTGTGCTGTCTTCCCCTGCACTGGATAATCTGGTGCCACTCTATGGGCATGAAAGTGCTGCAACGGAGAGCAATGCGATGCTGGTGGGGTGGTTGTTCTGCTCTCTTTTGCAGTGGGAAGTATGCGTCTTGGTTGGTATAGAATGCTCTGCGGAGATGGGATTGGATTTGCATTTCCTGGTACCCACTTTATTGCCTTGTGAGGTCCTGGCTGACCCAGCAGAGCACTGCTACTATTGTGGTGCCCCCTCTTAAACTGAACAATAGCAAGATGAGCAGGGCTTGGAAATGCAGAATGTGCCTGGATCAGGAAACCTGCCTCATGATCCCTGACCCTTCCAGGCAGCACTCCAGCTTACCAGAAGCCAACAGTGAACTGAGCCTTATAGCTCCTGAAAGCAAGAATTGCCTTTGTGCATCGTACAATCAGGGACCGTGAAAGGGAGGCAAGAGTCCACAAATCTGGTGGTGCAGAGCTACAAATACAGCTCCAGCATGCTCTGCCATTGCCCCAGGCCTCTGCAGTTCTTCTCTGCTCCCACAGCAGAGCTGGGTGCAAGTTCGACCTTGACATTGGTAGGCAATTGGAGCACAAATAGGGGAAAGGGACACTTGGGAGGCCAAGAGAGATTGGATGGTAATGTGCAGCAAACTATTGAGCTTGCAGTGTGATGTGTCAGGAACAATGGCCAATGCAATTTTTGGGGGTTCTGGGTGTAACAACTTCCCAGCATCGAGGCAGGGAATGCCCTCGTGCAACCCTGGGGACAGGAAGAAGATGTAAGTACAAAGAGCCACAGGCTGGCTTAGAAGTACCTCAGAGGCGGCAGCAGTCTTGCAGGTTAAGTCCTGGTTTAGGACCAAGCATTGCACCTGTGAGGGCTGGCATTGTGGCAGGAAACAGAAAACAGATGGAATATGGGGAAGTGGCAGCAAACACAGTTTTCCACAGAGAAAGGAGGGACCGCCCCATAGACTGGAGTATCTGCAGCTGTCCCAAGGAGGGTATGAGATGTGTGAGATGAGGAGTCGTTTTCTCCCTGGTGGGACCGGCCACCCGCACGTTGTGTGCGGTGATCAGGTTCCTGTGACATCTATTTTGTGGCCTAAGTCTGTGCCCTCACCTGTCCTCTCTGCAGGGTCCGAGTGAGCCAGGACGGACAATTCCTTCACTACATCTTTCCGTACCAGTTCCTGGACTCTCCAGAATGGGAGTCACTGCGACCCTCTGAGGAAGGAACTTTCCAGGTAACCTTGCACAGCCCCACAGCAGCCCAGCTTCACTCCTTGCTGCTCCGTTGTACGTCTGAGAAGGGGACAGAGGGGGCTTGTTGTGCCATTCAAAGCTAACCGGGAATACTTTCCTCCCCTTCCTCGTGGTTTAGCCAGCACAGGATGGTGCCATCAGCTGTGTTATCTTATTTTTTACCTTGCCCTGAAGGCCTCAGTGCATGCTCCCGCTATCAGCTGATAGCAGGGAGGGTGGAGCATGGTGCTTCTTCCAGTTTAGCAGGGAGATGAGGTATCGGGCTGCTGGCTCTCTTCCATTACAGCGTTCCCTAGTACCTGTATTGATGCATTTGCCCTGCATGCTGCTAGCAGGATGCATCATTCCAGCATCGGGATGGCAGCCATGGCAATATGCAGCAGTGATGTAAATCCATAAACATCCTGTTCCTCACAGAAGGTTCTGATGGTGATGTGTTTGGCGTGGAGAAGCAGAAAGCATGATTCACACCCGAATATGGTTCTTTCTGGGCAGAAGAATCCCTTCCTGAGAGGCCAGACCAATTCGTATTTGCAGCAACTGAAAGGATTTTGCTCTTGCTGTCAACAGCCTGCAGTATTCGTTTGGCTTTCCTTCTGGAGGAGATTACTTAAGCCCACATCTCTCTGCCTTTAACTCATATCCCAGGACAGGCTGATCCCTATCAGGATGTCTGTCTAGAATACATCAGTTAGGGCATATGAGGAAGGATTTTCCTAATCCCTTGTTAGTGTGGGACAGTCATGCAGGAATGATGTTGCTTTCTCATGAGGGCAGCCACGTTCAGACTTGGTTAAGCCAGGGCAGCTCCCCGAATCTGCTTCCCTCAGGTCTGAATTTGACCCATGTGTGAAAGGCCATGGCAGTTGCTCCTGAAAGCTATGCCATCGCAAGCGATTACGGTCTTGCAAGGGGAACAGTTGCAGGAGATGGCTGACTATGTGAGGGGTACAGCTTGTGAGCAGAAATAGGGATGTCAGGCCAAGATCATGGGGCAGGGAGGGCAACGACAGCATGGCTGTGCTAGGGGTGGGGATATCTCCTGTTTTGCACAGGGCTTCAATCCAGCAGCAAATTGCTGTTAGCTCCTGGACTGTGTTTGCCTAAGAGTCAAGCAGAGAGAACAATGGCTGCCCAGTGCTCCTGGGAGGGAAAGCGTTGTCTGGATGGCATGCAACCTGCAAAGACATCTGCAGCATTTTCTGAGCTAATTTCTGTGGAACTGAATGTTCCCAGACCTCCTGAGTGTCTTTATCTGTGGTGTGTGAGACAGCTTGGGAGCAAGCTGGCAGCGGGCTGCAGCAGCCCTGCCAGCACCACACTCTCGGCTCCTCTCCTGCTGGTCAGGGAGCTGGGCTGTGCCTGGCACTGGGATGGGGAGGTAGAGTCCTCGGTGGGGAAAGGCTGCAGCCATGTGCTGGAAATGCCTAAAACCCATGTCTGCTTATTGAGGAGCATGAAGAAGTAGCAGCCTGTGTGAGACCAGCATTCAGCAGGTGAGACTTGACCAGTCCATGTTCCTGGCAGGACATTCTCTTGGTGGCCCTGCTTAGCCATGGTAATGTGCTGCTTTTCGCAGCTGTTTCACCCACTAGTCCATCTTACCTGAGTAGTTAATAAAATTCCGTGACATATCTCAACCTTATTCCTAGTGTCACAATCATTTGGTTAAAAATGCGCAAGTTTGACTCTGAGACTTTGCTGGAGAAGGGCATGGAAGGTTTTTCTTGCCCAAGTTTTCCCCATGGCGCTCTGGATTGAGCAGTTTCAATCCTGAGCCCACCGAAAAAAGGACAGAAGCACCACTCAGCCTACAAGGAGAGCCGGTTTCCTTGAACTTTCTGCTTTGGTTGTCTTCTTACTGCAGGACTGCTGGCTCCCAGTGCCTGAAAGAGTTGGGTTTCAGGGCTGGCACCTTCCCCCAGAAGGCTGAATTATGGGCTCTGACAATGCCAGAGCACTTGTGTCGGAGGGATTCATGAGTGAAATCTGTCCTGCTGTCCTGGTTAGGAGGCAGGCTTTTTTATTACATCTCACTTAATCCCCCATGAGAAGCAGAGGTTTTCAGTCGCTGTGCAGGAAGTTGGTTAGGAAATGAGATTCTGGTAATTTCAATTTCCGTGTGAGCCTTCCTCGTGTTTGCCTCGGCCTGGGAAAGTTCTCAGGTTTTATCTCCTATATTTCTTTCATAAGGCAGCTGCTTGCATGGCAGTGGGATTAAATATCAAACCCAAGGACACACACGTGCAGCCGAGCTGTGTTCAGCTTCCCAGTGGCCCTCTGCCATGGTGCCTGGCCAAGGAGACCCCTGGATATAGAGTGAAAGGGAGCCCCCAGGGTATTTTGGCTCTTGCACTTGTTCACATGCCGGTGTCTCCATTACACTCAGATGTTCTTCTTTGGCCCAAGGCACTTTGACCCTTCCTGTGTTTTTTACCT